GATCGGCAGAACAATGCAAGATAAACTACCGCCTTGTGGGTCCCAGCATGGTGCTTCAGCGGACCGAGCGGTGACCTCGGAACCCCCGAAGACCTCACGGCACAGTGCGTCGCTCACGGACCTGTGGATGCCGCAGTTGCCCGAGACATCCTTGGAGATCGACCTCCTCCCTCCTTCCCTCCTTTTCTCGCCCTTCCTCCAGCCCCTCCGCCCTTCCATCCCATCTCCTGCCTTTCTCCCCGCTCGCCCTCCCCATCCTCGCGCCCCAATCCCCCCAGGAGAGCGGGCCCTCGGCCCCGCCCGATGGGCACCGTGTAGTAGCGGTGCAGCAGTGGCTGGCCGAGGATGAACGTCTTGGCGCCGATGGTGGTCGGCATGTTCACCTGGCTTGCAGGGCAGGTGAAGCGGGTCCCAACCTTTTTTGCGAGTCCCGAAACGGTGCGGTGACAGACCCTACGGTGACCTCGAAATCCCCCAAGACCTCACCGCACGGTCCGTCACCGCACGGTCTTGGGACCCCGGAGGCCCCTGTCGCCCGAGACATCCTCGGAGAACGACCCGAGTCCCAAAACCGTGCGGTGACCCCAAATCCCCACCGACTCACCGCACGGTGTGGTCATCACCCCGTTTGGGGACCCCCGACTTTTCCAAGGATGCTCTCTCTTGCGCAACGCCGGGCCCGAGGCCTCCGATGCCGATTCCTGGCTCTGGGGCGCGGCAACGACAGCCCTCGGGGCTGCCGTTTGCGAACGACGAGCGACGGTGACGGAGCCAAGAGCATAGGCATCTGAGCCAGCTGCAGCTCCCTTGGAGGCCCAGGATGACACGAGACACGAGAAATCTTCGAGCGCTTGCGCTCGAGGCTCTCGCTGGGCTTGCACAGCGACCCGGCGGCAACGTTTTCTGGCTGGTGCGGCTCGCGGGACCCAGGGTCCTGATGGCGTCGCAGCGGAACTTCCATGGACTTCGGGTTCTCATGTACTGGCGGCGTCGTGGCGAAACAAATTCTGCGGTGGAATGGCTCACCCCAGCCTGCTCGAGCCTAGCTACTTGTTGGGCCTCCCCAACTCTAGCTTGCTCGCACGTCAAACCAGCTTGCCAACATCCCAGCTGGGGACAACCAGCCTTCCACTATACGAACACATCATCCCAGCTTGCCGGGACCTGCCGCAGCCTGAACTCGCAGCCTAGCAGACACCTTCACGGGGCTCCAGCTCCTAATTGGTAGGAGCCAGGGCATCAGGGAGGAGTGGGGGAAGAGAAGCAAGGGGGGCCGGGGGGAAGGAAAAGCAGGGCGCACAGACACGACACGTAGGACATATGATCAGATATGGAAGGGAGGATGGCGAGGGACGGACCAGAAAGAGTCAAAGGATGGCACAAGATGGGGAGGTGCGGAGGGAAGGATTAGACAGGAGGGGAAGGAGCCAGGGACTTGCGCTGGTCAGCGTGATGGAGCGCAGAGGTTCTTACTAGTCTTCTCTGGCAATATTTTTGTATTTCTGGATAGGTTGTTTGCCAAGGGGAATGATATCGCGAATAATCTCTGCAGCGATGCGACGGCGGCCAAAACCTTCAATGTTTCCCCCGCTCGGGACCCGGGCGGTGAGGGGAGGAGGAGGAGGAGGAGAAGGAGGAGAAGGAGGAGGAGGAGGAGGAGGAGAAGGATGAGGGGGGAGAGGAAGATGAGGACACGACAAAAGAACCTGGAGCTGCGCTCAAGCCGAACTGCGACAGGCGAGCCGTGGCGCGCATCTGGGGGCTGAGAAAACTTGTTCCGTCGGCGGCGAGGAGGAGGCGATCCGAACCAGCGTCGGGCTCATCGAGGAACCGATGGGCAACTTGTCCGGCGTGCAAGAGAACGAGGAGGAGAAGAGGGGCTGGAAAAACGGGAGGCTTGAGTTCCTGGATTCTCTCCCGCTGGCTTTGGGTCGGGCGTGTCCCCCCCTGCAGGCGGACTTTGGACGAGACACCAACATACCCCAAACATGCCCAAGCATGGTTCAAAAATGATCTAAACTACGTTTGAAAGGCTCCTCCCGTAGAGGGACATGCCCGACTATCTTTTTAAACTAGGACTGTTTAAACAAACTATGTTAGAAGTCTCCTCCCGTAGAGGGACTTTTTTAACTATGGGATAAACGTCGTCCCCAGACTATTTGTTCTAAAACTATGTTTGAAGCCTCCTCCTGTAGAGGGACACGCCCGACTTGAACACTGGCCGCAGGCGGGCGCCCGCAGGGCGCCCCGTGCTCGGGGATCTGCTGACCCGGGCCATATCCCGGGCCGGGGCCAGGCCAGGGCTTGCAGAGTTCTGCGGGGCCCTGCACCCCATCAATGGGGCCCAGGGACACGCAAATCAATACACACAACAAATAAGAGGAGTCCCCGTATGTTTCCGTATTTGTTTTGGGGTTTCGTCTTCCCCCCCACTTCCCATATTTTCCCATGGTTTCCGGGGATCTTCTGACCCGGGCCAATCCCGGACCGGCCAGCCAGACCTTGCAGATCTCTGCGGGGCCCTGCACCCAAAGGGGCCCAGGGACACACAAACAAGTACACACAAAGAAAAGGACTCCCCGTATTTTTCCGTACTTGGTCTGGGGTTTTCGTCTTCCCCCCCACTTCCCATATTTTCTCATGGTTTCCGGGGATCGACGATCAATTGTGTCTGTGTGTTTTTTCCCTCCTGACCCAAGCCCGGGCCTGTGCGACCCTGGCCCTGCAGGACGCCGCAAGATCGGGCGCTCTGGCTGACCCGACGCGTGCACTGACCCCCATCGCTTGAGTTAAGTCGGGCGTGTCCCCCTACAGGGGGACTTTCGACGAAACCTAAGACATACAGAAACAAATACTCCCCAAAATGTCTAAACGATGCGCAACATATAATCCAACTCGAACAACGGTGCGAGAAATCCGCCGACCCTGTCGGCGTGTGGAAGACGCATCCCGGTGTCGTCGTCTTGCGTGGATCACCGTCGTCGTCGTCGTCGTCGTCGTCGTCGTCGTCGTCGTCGTCGTCGTCGTCGTCGTCGTCGTCGTCCGTCCCGTCGTCCCTCGTCGTCTTCGTCGTCCCCCGTCTCCTTCAGCGCGCGAGCCAAAGCGACATTGAGCAACGTCGTAGTTGAGTCGTGGCGAAGCCCCTCCCTACCCTCCCCGCCGGGGGGGGGGGGGGTCGCCGGGGGGGGTCCCCGGGGGGGGTCCACCCAGATACGCATCCTCCCCGGGGGGTCCCGGAGCTCAGAAAAGCTTCAAGACGAGCCAAGAGCGACAGAAGACACCCCCAAAAGGGTACAAGAGGGCCTCGACTCGACGAACGATGGCCCCAAGACGCCCAAGACGGCCCGAAGACGGCCCAAGAGGCCCTCAAGACGCTCCAAGAGAGCCCCAAGAGCACACCCAAGAGGGCCCCAGGCGCCAAAATCGTCAATTTTACATAGGTTTTTGAATGATTTTGGCCTTCTCGCCTTTTCGGCTTTCCGACACTCCAAGACGGCCCAAGAGGCCCCCAAGAGGCCCCCAAGAGCGCCCCAAGAGGCCTACAAGAGGGCCCCAAGACGGCCCAAGAAGGCCCCAGGACAGCCTAAGAGGCGCCCAAAACGGCCCAATAGGGCCCCAAGACGGGCCCAAGAAACGGCCAAGAGGGGGACGAGGAACCGAGAATTCGAGACTTCCGCCCTAAGAGGCCCCCGGGAAGCCCCAAGAGGCCCCCAAAAGGCCCCAAGAGGCCCCCGAGCGGCGCCAAGACGCCCCCAAGATGCGCCGAAGACGGCCTCCGGAAGCCCCAAGAGGCCCAAAAGAGGCCCCAAGAGGCCCCACAACGGCCCCCAAGAGGCTTCAAGTTGCCTTCCAGACGCCCCCGAGAGGTCAACCACGAGATCCCAACCAACATCCATAAGGCCTCCTCCTCCTCCCCCTTCACCCTTCCTCCTCCTACTCCCTTCCGCCTCCTCCTCCTCCTCCTCCTCCTCCTGCCCCCCCCCTCGTGTTGTCTTTCGTCATCTTCAGGGTCGGCGGCAACGGCCGTAAGGCCTTCGCAATAATTTCGAAAACCGCGAACTTACTACTATGCATAACCTCTTGAGCCCCGACGTGTGCCCCGCCGGCACGAAACCGGAAGGAACATCGGGAAAAACGAAAAGGCAAAAGAAGAGAAAGAAGCAAGACACATGGGACAACTCGGACAACGGTGCGAGAAACAACTTCGAAAACCGCGAGCTCACTACTATGCGTAACCTCTTGAGCCCCGACGTGTGCCGGCTCGCGCCCTACCGGGCCGGCGCCCATAGAGGCCGCCCGCGGGAGAGCCCCGCGTGCGCCCCGCGTGCCTGCTGGCACGTGTCCGGGCGTTGGCTCGGTGGGCCGCCTCGGTGGGCGCCCCGGTGGGCCGCCTCTTGGCAGCTGGGCGAGGGTTAAGTCGGGCCTGTCCCTCTACAGGGGGGAATATTCAAAAGTAGTCAAAAAATAGTCCGAAAAAATATTCAAAAACAGTCAAGCAATAGTCTGGACTGTTCAAAAATATTGAAAAAAAACGGTCTGGGGACTAGTCAAAAAATAGTCTGGGGACTATTTCTTGAGTGTGACCATTTTGGGGCATTTGTTGCGTCTTTTTTCAATTTCGTGAAAAATGCCCCTGTAGGGGGACACACCCGACTTACTGGAAGCTGGGCGAGGGCTGGCAAACCCGTGCCTGCCAAAACGGCCTTCCCGGGAGAGGAATACAAACTCCCGGAACAAAGCTCAGCGCGCAAAAAAAAGATGCACGGGCTGCCTCCCAGAAAGAACAGAAGCAGTTTCACGAAGCTCCGTTTTGGCAGCCACGGGTTTGCCAGCCTTCGCCTGGCTTCTGAGCCTCGTCACTGGCCCGCCTCTCTCGGCGGCGAGCGAGGGGGGGGAAGCGAGAGGGAGGTGATCCAAAGTTTTTAGGCCCCCCACTCCTATTAGTTTGGGCATGTCCCCCCACAGAAAGATTCTGGGCGACAAGTCAAACATAGCCCAAACAAATTCAAAAAACGGATCCAAAAATACGAAAAAATCGTCCCCACATTTCTGTTGTTTTGAATTTTCCTTCTGTAGAGGGACAGGCCCGGCTTAACACTCCTGCCCCTCTAGAACAAATAACATTGCCATTTTTGTTCGGACCGGAGGCACGCCTGCACAAGACGCACGAACACGATGCATCCGAGAAGGCCTCCTCCGAGGAGGCCTTTTCGGATGGCGACGGGACTTCTCAGAAGCCCGTGCGCCTCTGAGCAATTGTCGGTGTCTGCGGGGAAGGCTTAGAACACTTCTCAGAAGGCCGGGGGTCGTCCGAGCCTTCTGAGAAGACCTTCTCCTTCTCAGTTCCCCCTCTCGCTCGCCGCTGGCTTTCAGGATGCACGCGTAACTTGCAACTGATCGATTGCATCCCGTAGCTTACACCCCGCAGGTGGCACAACATAGCCTGCACTGCGGCAACGTCCAAGCATACGCGCAGGAGATTGATAACCCAACGGCCGCCCCGCACGTTCCCTCGTCCTCCTCTGCCGCCACCAAGGCCCCTCATCTGCCATCTCTTCCAACTCTTCCTCACCCACTCAACTCTTCCTGCTCTGCCTCCTGCCCGCACCGTGGCCCATCCATCGTCTCTGGGGGGGTAGGACAGGGAGCGGGCCAGATGACCCCCACGATCCGCGGCTTGCACAGCTTCTCCTGCCTCTCCGCGGGGAACGCGCTGCCCCCTCCTCCGCGCGGCGGGCCGGCTCGGAGGAAACGAGCCTGGAGGGGCGCACGGGTCCCCAAGGACCTGGTGCGTCCACCTGGGACAAGCTCTTCTTTCCGAGTCATCATTTGCTGGCCCGGGTGCCCACGAGCGGTCCCCTGGTGCCGACATCGTGGCCAAAAACTCAGGTCCCATTCCCTCAGAGTTTTGCCCCGAATGCCATGTGGGACCTGTCTAAAAACACAAGAACATGCCAACATCGTGTCTACACTGTCTCCGACCTTGCATATCGGGGGCGCGCCACGGCACCGAATGTGTCTATAGACGTTGGTGGCTAGAGAGTGAGCGCGGTTCTTGGTAGAGCCCCAGAAACCCATCTTCTAGCAGCATGTAAGCTCATCTAGAAGCATCTAGGGCTCCCAACTTCGCGCTTCGCGCTCCGCGAAGCGCGAAGCGCGAATAACTTCGCGCTCTCGCGCCGCCCCCCCAAAGGGAGAAAAGGAGGACGAGGAGGAGGGGGAGAAGGAACGAGGACCGCGAAGCGCGAATAACTTCGCGCCCTCGGGGGAGCCCTAGAAGCATGCAGATGTTGCCCTCGGAATCTGGGCGGCGGCGGCGGCAAAGAAACCACCGGAGGAGGCTGCGCGACGGCGCCGGCAGCCCGGGAGAGGTCGCAGCGGGGGCTCCCCCCCTCCCGGGGGGGCCGCCGCGAGGTCCGCAGCGATCGCCATCGCTCGGACGCCCATTCCCTGTGTTTCTTCGGTTTCGTGCGTGGTTTTTTCTTGCGAAATGATCAAGGATGCTCCTCGACGGCCCTCGCCGAGAAAACATGCGCACGTCCGAGCGATGCCAGGCCCCCTCCTGGGGGGCCGCCGCGACGTCCGCAGAGTCCTGGCCGCTCAGAGAGAGTTTGCCGTCCTGGAGCCTCGCCCGTGGGCGGCCTTCCTGGAGGAGCCGCCCCTCCTTCACCAGGAGGCCTCCCAAACGGGATCCGACCGGGTGGGGTCGGAGGATCGCGCCTTATCGCCGAATCGCCGATGCAGCGCCGATGCGTCGGCGACTCATCGGCGACGTCGGTGGTGAGTTGGCGACATCGGCGCGGTAAAAATCGGGCTCCGCATCGAGCCGCACCGCCGGTGCATCGGCCATGCGGCGCGATCCTCCGACCCCACCCAGTCGGACCCCACTTTGGGAGACCTCGATCTACTCCTTCCTCCCCCCGGGCGCGGCCTGACCGACCCCTAGCAAGCCGTCCAACTCCGTGACGTCGCCCTCGCCTTCCAAGCTCCCCTCAGGCCGCACACATGTACGCTTTGGGGCGGGGCGAGGGGCACGTCACGGACGGGGATGGTTTGACACGCATCGGGAGCGCCCCGGATCGGCGGCACTGGCCGGAGGCCATTGCAATAACAATATTCCCTATAGTTTCCTATGTTTTCGGGGTTTTTGTCTCCCCCCCCCACTCCCCACGTTTTCCCGTACTTTCCTGGGAATCGACGATTCATTGTGTCCGTGTGTTTCGTTCCCCTCCTGAGCCCGGCAAGCATGCAGCGCATCCTGCGAATGTGCAGGTCGTAGGGTTCGTTGTCTAGACCAGAATGCACGAATAGCGCGAACATTCGGGCCATGTCGCAGAACCTGAGCCCCAGGTGATTTCATCTCTTGGGGGCGCTTCTTTTACTTCCGCCGCCTCCCGCCGAGCTTCCGCCGGCTTCCGCAAGCAGAGGCGGACTCGCTTTACTTCCGCCGACATTCCGCCGCCTTCCGCCGAGGAAAATAGGACAACTCATTCGGTCCAGGAAGGCAAGGCACTTTTTAAATTGCATGGTCGTGGACTCAGATTGGGCATTCCAAAAAGTTTTTGGAACGCCCAATCTGAGTCCACGCGTCCCCAAACCAGGCAAGACAAAGCTCTGCACAGTCGCAGCTTGAGAGCTGTTCGGTCACAGGCCAAGTGCGGTGCATCGACTTCGAGCTTCTAGGGTGGCAAGACAACATCTGTACACCTTCCGAGCCCATCTCCCGGGAAGCCGCGGTCACAGCAAGGTGAGGTACATGGGTACATGACTCCCCGGTGCTGGAACGAATGGTCGAATAGCGCAGGTTGTCACTACCCTCCTGGTTCTCCGTCTCGTCCTCCTAATATTAATCCTTCTCCTCCTTCTCTCGATGATCCTGTTGGAAATATGATAGCGCCAACAGGTGATTGTCCACTGACCCCTTTGAAGCGCCAAGGGCGGTGGGGGGCCCAGACAGGCTGAGCGCTATCGTCGAAGCTGCATTGGGTACGCGCACACACACACACACGCACACGCACACACACACACACACACACATTCACACATTCACACACACACACACACGCATTCACACACACACACACACACACACTCTGACACTCACATACACACACACACACTGAGCTAACACACACTGGACTTACACACGACCGGGAGATCATCGATCCTGCGTCTCCTGCTCTGCTTCCGTTGTGCGCGGGTAAGGTAGCGTGAAACTTCAACCTCCCAAAAGCACACTACCCGCGAAGGACCCTTTTGCGCACGCGATCCGCCTGCCTGCCAGTGCTTCTCCAGTGCACGCTACAGTCATCGTGCTACAAGCAGGAGCGCCACATGAGAACGAATGGGCATTTCTGGTTCCAGCGAGCCTCGGCCAAGAACCGGTTCCCCGATCTGGACCTGAGGAACGGCCCCGAACCCAGAGTCGGCCCCCCCTGACCTGGCAGAGCCCGTCCTGACCCAAAAGTGGTCCTTACCTCGGCGTCTTGGCTGTATTCCCCATGTGGGTACTACTTCGCGTGTAACACGCGGGCCAGCGACAACATTGCAGGCGACCTTGCCAACGACAGCCGCAGCCGGCGCAGCGTGCCACTTCTTCGTCTCTCCTCCTCCTGCTCCTCCTCTTCCTCCTCCTCCTCCTCCTTCTCCTCCTCTCCCTCCTCCTCTTCCTCCTACTCCTCCTCCTCCTCCTCCTCCCCCTCCTCCTTCTCCTCCTCCTCCTCCTCCTCCTCCTCCTTCTCCTCCTCCTCCTCCTTCTCCTCCTTCTCCTCCTCCTCCTCCTCCTCCTCCTCCTCCTCCCCCCGAGGAGCGATCCTGCCCCTGGCGGCGCGACGGCCGGCGCTGGAAGCTGCCGCATGTAGTCCTCCGGCTGGAGGGTGATGTTGAAACTCCTGGGCGAGGGCCACAGCAGCTTCGAGGGGCAACGCTCGGGGAAACCGGCTCAGGGGGGGAGCCATGGACCGGTTCGGCGGCGAGCGAGGGGGGGCAGTGAGAAGGAGGAGGCCTTCTCAGAAGGCAGCGGGACTTCTCAGGAGCGCTCGCGCGTTCTGAGAAATTCTGTGCGTCTCCGTGGAGCGAAAACTTCTCCGAACGCCGGGGGACTTCCGAGCCTTCTGCGAAGGCACGCCCCTGCTCACTTCAGCCCCCAAGCTCGCTGCCGAGCTATGGGGGCCGACCCAGGGGGGGGAAACGTGAGCCTGCAGTCGGCGATACCCCGCCGCCGGAGCGCTTCTGAGAAGCCGCGCATCCGTCTGAGAAGGCCTCCTTCTTCTCAATTACCCCCCCCTCGTTTGCCACTGAGCCTTGCACAATTCCGGCAGCAACAACACCACCACCACCACCAACAACGACAACAGCAAGGATTTGAAAACTGCCCACTCTTCACGTCTATTCCACATCCACCCTCCATACCCGCCCTCTTCGTCTTCGATCGTGCCTCCTTGGAGGTACATATCTTCCTTACCTGCAACGTGTGCTCCGTGCAGCCCCTGAGCCAGAGGAAGAGAGGACGGATGGAGGGAAGGGACAGGAAGGAAGGAGGAGGATGGAGCACGAGAGAGAGTAGCAGGAGGGGGGCTAGGGGCAGAAACCACGTGGCAGAACCAGACGGGCAGATCGGGCTGGTAGACCCTAACGGGCGGGTCGGGAAGGCTGGCCCAGGCGGCCAGCTCGAGCAGGCGGGTTGCTGAAGCGTGCGTCCTGTATCAATCGCGAGGAAGTGTCGAGCGACAGCGCGATTCACAGATAAGTCGTGAGGAAATCCACAGCGAGAGCTTTATTCCGGCGTGTCGAGGGTGCGGCGTCTGAGTAAATTGCGAGGACGTCCCACGCGACAGCGCGATCCCTGCATACATTGTGAGGAAGTCCTGCGCAAGAGCGTTATTTTGGAATCCACTGTGAGGAAGTGTCAGGCGGGAGCCACCGTGTTATTGTTGTAAACTGGGGGCCTACAACCCAATTATGAGAACCAAGACTTTCCCTTGTAAAAAACAAAGTGTGGGCCCCGCGATGTGCCCCCCGAGGGGGGGGATGAAGAACACTTATTTTTGAAATGAGAACTAAATACAACAGCAGCATCAACAACACCACCAACAACACCAACTTCAACAATCACCACATCAACTACAACACCAACACCAACAACAACAAACGTTTTAAGACTGTCCGCGCTTACCGGCTCGCGTGTTAGTCAACACGTGTATCCAAAACCCTCGATACCCGCTCTCTTCCTCTTCGATCGTACTCCCTTGGGGGTAGGTATGTATAAATATAAATATATATACACACATCTATACATTTACACAGACACACACATGTGTATATTGAACCTTGGCGCGCGCGAAGCGCGCGCCAAAGTTCCAGCAAGCGCCAGTTGTAGTCTAAAGTGTTCGGGATCGGAGGACATATATTGTCACAGGGATCGTGCACCTCAGGGAACTCCACCTGCGGCCCCTCAGACATCGCGTCCCACAGGAAGATCTGTGGCTGTCTTAGAGCGTTCCTGGCCCGTCGGACGCTGTCGGAAGTCGTCTTTGAGGCCTGTCTTCGCCGTCTTCGAGCCCGCCTTGAGCGCGTCGGGGCTGCCTTGGAGGCAATCTCGGGCGTTTTGAATCCTCTTGGGCCATCTTGGGACCCTCCTGGAACAATCTTTGAGGCTCCTTGGGCCGTCACGGGGCCATCGTGGAGGCCTCTTGGGCGCTCTGGGGGCGATCTTGGGAGCCTCTTGGGCCGTCTGGACCGTCGGCAGGCCGAAAACAAACAAATGCGAATCCTTCAACAACCAACCAGAAATCTATGATTTGAACTTCTTCGGGCTTTCCCGAGGGATGTCTGGGAGGCGCCTTGGACGCCTCGGAGGGTATCTTGAGCCATCTTGACCCCTTAATGGGCCGTGTAGGGTGAATCTTGAGGCCATCTAGGGCTCTCTTGAGGCCAACTTAGCGGTCTTGAAGGAATATGTGAAGCCATCATGGGCCATCTTGGCTGTCTCGGAGGCCATCTATGCCGTCTTGAACCGGGAACGGGGGGTCCTGGAGCCCCGTTGCCGGCATGGAGAAATGGGGCCGCCCCCCCGGTACCTGGAACCCGGTTATGTATGTATGTATGTATGTATGTATGTATGTATATATATATATATATATACATGGATCACTTCTTACCTGCAACGTGTATTTCGTGCAGCCCCTGAGCCAGAGGAAGAGAGGACGGATGAAGTGAGGACGGAGAGGGGGGGTGCTAGGAGCAGAAAGCACGTGGCAGAACCAGAAGGGCAGATCGGGCAGGTAGACCCTAACGGGCGGGGCGGGAAGACGGGCCCAGGCGGCCAGCTCGAGCAGGCGGGTTGCTGAAGCGTGCGTCCTGCATGAATCGCGGGGAAGTGTCGAGCGACAGCGCGATTCACAGATAAGTCGTGAGGGAATCCGCAGCGAAAGCTTTATTCCGGAGTGTCGAGGGTGCGGCGTCTGAGTAAATTGCGAGGTCGTCCCACGCGACAGCGCGATCCCTGCATACATTGTGAGGAAGTCCTGTGCAAGAGCGCTAGTTTGGTATCCATTGTGAGGAAGTTTCAGGCGGGAGCCGTTGTTGTTGTAACTCGGGGGGCAGAGGGCCAGATAGGTGAGCCCTCGCTTTCCATGGAACAGAAACAGGGTGCGCGCCGGGGGATCAACAATAATTGTGATTTAGAGATGAGAACTCAACTACGACAACAACAGAAGCAGCAACAACAACAACAACATCAACAATCATTTCAAGACTGTTCGTTCTTACCCGCCAGCGTGCCATTCAACACGTGTGTCCCAAACCCTCGATACCCGCCCATTTCGTCTTCGATAGTACCCCCTTGGGGGGATATCTTTCTTGGCTGCAGCGTGTATTCGTGCAGCCCTAAAGGCAGGGGAAGAGAGGACGGATGGAAGGAAACGAGAGGAAGGAAGGAAGAGGATGGAGCAGAGCGAGCAGGAGGGGGGAGGAAAGAGGATGGAAGAAGGAGGAAGGAGGATGGAGGAGGATCATCACGTGGTTGGGGGACGGAAGGTCTATCCGCCCTATTGCCTGCCATCTCGCTGTTGAGATGAGGCTGCGACTCTGGCTGCTTCTGCGGCTATAAAATCTCTGAGCTTGACAGGAGGGCTCTGGAAAATAGATGGGTCCCTGAAAGAGGACTTGGGGTATTTCCCAGCGCACAACAGACGCCACTGGGTCCGATCACCGTCCCTCCTGAAGCCTTGGCAGCCCTCTTTGAGCTTCTTGACATTAGATTCACTGTACTTGCCACAGCCAGAGCACATCATGATGAAGTTCAAACTTCTTTCTTGTCGGGCAACATAAAATGAGTGGCCCTGGGGATTCTCAGCTATCTGAAACATCTGTAAATGATAGCTTCGACATGGCTCATCTTCGCGAGTCTGATAAATTCTGTCAGAGCATCGGGCCTTGCATGTCGAGCACAGCCACTTGTTGGATCTGCTATTCCACTCTCAACAGTGGCCAGGACTTTGTGGCCGCGGGACCACAGGGGCTGGCGGAGGAGGGGTCTCGCCAGTCCACACAACCCGAGCGCTGGCTGCACCCGCCACTATGGGTTGGGCAACCGTCTTGTCCCGAGAAGAAAAGTTTTTCTTGCTGACTTTAGGTCCAACTGGCTCCCACAAACATTAAACACAAGCAAAGTAACGCAACCACTTGGCCAGCAGGGATGTGTCCATGGTGGCTTCCTCAATCTCATTGGTCGGGGGCCGTTGCAACATCTGAGCTCCTAGCTTAGAAAACTTATCGGCGAAATCGTTGCCAGTGGCTCTCAGCCACTCTTCGGTGCCCTGGGTGAGACTTCCAGGGCTCTGGTGAGCCTTTATTTTGTCCAGAGTGATTCCACGGTGCCAGTTGGCCGAACCTTGGGCCAGCAAAGCAACTCCAGAGTAATTATGCAAAGAGGATGGAGGAGGAAGGAGGAAGCAGGAGGAAGGGGGAGGAAGGAGGATGGAGCACGAGTGAAAGAGAGAGTAGCAATCGGGAGCCAGGAGCAGAGCGAGCAAGAGGGGGGCGCGAGCGAGAGCGGGGGCCACGAAGGGCATACGCATATGGGGACACCAAGGGCGACAGCGGGGCCACGAAGGGCATTGACGGGGGCCACGCAGAGCAGCAAGAGGGCCACGAAGGGCGACAGCGGGGCCAGGAAGGGCATGCGTATGGGGCCACGAAGGGCGCGAGCGAGCGGGGGCCACGAAGGGCATGCGTATATGGGGCCACACAGGGCGACAGCGAGGCCACGAAGGGCAGCAACGGGGACACGAAGGGCGCGAGCGAGAGCGGGGGCCACGAAGGTCATACGTATTTGGGACCACGCAAGGCGACAACGAGGCCACGAAGGGCAGTGATGGGGGCCACGAAGGGCAGCAAGAGGGCCATGGAGGGCGACAGCGGGGCTACGAAGGGCATGCGTATGGGGCCACGACGGGCGCGAGCGAGCGGGGGCAACGACGGGCACAGAATGCGGGGCCACGGAGGCCAGCAAATGGGCCACTCAGGGTAGCAACGGGGTCAAAAAGTGCAGCGAGTGGCCACAAAGGGCGACAGCGGGGCCACGAAGGGCAGCAATGGGGCCACGAAAGGCGCGAGCGAGCGGGGGCCACGAAGGGCATACGTATATGGGGCCACAAAGGGCGACAGCGGGGCAACTGAGGGCAGCAAGGGGGCCATGAAGGGCAGCGAGGGGGGCACGAAGGGCGACAGCGGGGCCAGGAAGGGCATGCGTATGGGACCACGACGGGCGCGAGCGAACGGGGGCCACGAAGGGCATATAGTGCCGGGACCCAGAGAGCAGCGACGGGGCCACTGAGGGCAGCAACGGGGACACGAAGGGCGCGAGCGAAGGCGACCGCGGAACCACTAC